ATTCTTTACCAACCGAAATTAGAGAGAGCAACTCCATCATGTCCTTTGAAACTAAAATCGCTACTCACATTTTTGAATACTCACATTTTTGAATAGCATTATTATTCTTATACTTATATAATTATGTATATATATATATATATTTCTTACTGTATGTAATATCTTACTATATCTTTGAAATTTTATTATTGTGCACGCCCCTTGTGGAAATCAGCCTAGGTTGACAATGGTTAGCGTGTTTAAATAAAAGTTTCTATCTATCTATCTATCTATCTAAGATTTTAATTCCCCCTCCATCAGGGTGAAGGGTTAGACGTGTTAGACGGGTTAGAAGCCTCAGTTTAGGAGGAATTATAGAGTAGAGGGTGGGTTAAATGTGCACTTGGCGCCACATGGCTGACTACCTCAAAACATTACCATTCACGGATCGTACACCCAAAGATCTTCAGAATGATCTTGTTGAGGTGGCACGTGAAAATATTGCCACGTTGTATGGTAATACCGCGCACTTGATTGCGACGTCTTCAATCAATGAACTGCTTAAGCCACATGTTACTCGTTGAAATCCATTGCATGATATCATCCTATTCAAAACAAAGGCAAATTGCGCTCCAGATGCTGAGACTGTCTTTCGATTATACGATGAATGCGAAGGCGGAGTATCGATGAAATGCCAACGCACTATAAACTCTGGCGTCGAGAGTCTTAGGTTTGCACGCGGGGCAATCGCTGAAGCTAGTCGTGTATTTTTTACATGCCCAAAAACGAAATGGGGCAGCTGGTGGTGGAAAAAGACGAGATTGGCTGCCTTTTGCTGAACGTCTATGTGCAGAAAGAGGGCAATGAAAACCTCCGTTTACTGCAGGAAATCGTAGCTGAAGCGGGACATACATTACCAGTTTTGGGCGAAGGGCTGGATGAAGCTATATCCCATGGTGAAAGCAAAGCGTTTGGAAGTTGGTCTTTTCGAGTTGCCGAATGAAACGAGAAAATTTCCTTTCAGGCCTTGTGTGAGACGACAGCAAGTTTCAGCGCCAACAAATATCCAGCACACGACAGAAGGAAATGTTAAAATGTTCCGAGTTGGTGGCGACAACTTAGGCGTAGAAGCAATAAACTTCTTAGAATTTCGGAGGGTCTTTGATGAGAGTCCCTTTGAGAACTTGTAACAACAACTGCGCCCACGGTTCCACTTTTATGCAGTGTTACGTTTTGACCGTTCCCATCTTTCCTTTATGCTGCCATTGCTGCGCAACGAGAAAAAAAAATTCTGAGTTTCAAGTGACCCTCCAGGATATAGACGGATGCTCTAACCATTGTCCTACAGCCGATTCAGGTTGAGCGTTTAGAGGAAGTGTTACTGACGTTGGTTGTGGGCCTTAAAGCCATTTTCCATTGCGATCGCTTTGACCGCGCGGCCGGAGCGACCAATGTCTATCACGTGAAAAATCAGTCGCGCGGGCACGCCAAGAAAGTTGCATGACGACCCGCACGTTTTGAAAAACAGCGGGATCTGCAAACTGAGTTTGCAACTTCAGGAAGCGAACAACGCTAATCGCATTATTAATTACCGCTATAAGATGTCATCAATCCAGGTTCAGTTGCTTAGACTCAGTGTGAAACCAAGCAAGTAATAAGTTAATTTTCTGTTATGCATTAAAATAAAAGTGTACAAATATGTCACAATGCTGACTGTTGACAAGTCACCTAGCCTAGGGCCAGGCTATACTATATAGCGTACAATATGTAATAAGGCTGCGTATAATATGTAATAATATTAAGACTTGTGTGTTGTAAAACAAAACGTTCTTAGTATTTTAGAGAATAGCACGATAATTCCATGTCAAGACCGCGGAACATATTTGCCGTTTTAGATCGTGGCAGTATAAAAAGTCCGGCTTCAAAGGCGTAAGTTTTCTATGGCTAATAATAAAGAAACTGACTTATAAAGTTATATAATTTTGCCGCCTTTCCCTATAGGCCCTAGTGCGCACATGAATCTGGTACAAACGTTTTCACCAACGTATATATCAAATGTATATATTATTCCAAAAACAATAGCTGCATTGACACCATTGTCTTATAGCTAATCTACGGAATCTACGCC